TGAATCATTATTTTATTTTATTTTATGTTATTTGCAATCACATAAATATGCCACATGGACGCGGGTTGTGCTGTGGGTAAAACCTCAGCGCCTAGGACTTGCCGATCGCATGGTCGGCGCTTCGAATCCCCGCGGCGGGGTGCGCTCCCGTTGTTCAGTCCCAGCTCCTGCCCACCTAGCAGTTCAAAAGCACCCTTAAGTGCAAGTAGATAAATAGGGACCGCTTTATAGCGGGAAGGTAAACGGCGTTTCCGTGTGCTGCGCTGGTGCAGGCTCGCCAGAGCAGCTTCATCACGCTGGCCACGTGACCCGGAAGTGTCTGCGGACAGCGCTGGCTCCCGGCCTCTAGAGTGAGATGAGTGCACAACCCTAGAGTCTGTCAAGACTGGCCCGTACGGGCAGGGGTACCTTTACCTTTACCTTTAAATATGCCACAAGCAGAGAACAGGGTTTGTTTCAATGCATGCTTCTCAATACTTTCCTATCACCATATTAAGTCCTGATATCTTTATCTTGTGTTGTGACTTTCCCAAACCTCATAAGACATACCTTGTTCATGTCCTGCTGACCAGTAATCTGATTTAGGCAAGTTTCCAAGAAGATGCGTGACAACCACACTCTGATGCTATATGAGCAAGAAAGCAAACAGTATGGTGATCACATTTGCTGAGGCCCTGGAAAAAATTACGCTTCTAGGTTCATCTCTTTTGTTTCTAGTTGTATCTCTCTTCAAATTCTGTGTGAAAGAGAAAACATTGAGAGATGTATGATTTTTTTATTATCTTAGTTTAGAACTGCTAGTTTTTTTAATTGCTTTGCTAAATTTGTTTGACACCCACATACCTTTGCATATCTGTACATTTTATTCAGTCCATCCATCCTCCCACACACCATTTCATTATTTGGTTACTTAACTTAGTTATTGCACTTTGATAAACAGAGCTCTAGTAATTCATTTATCTTCAAGGGCACTTCTATCACTTTCCTTTTTTGCAGAAATGATGTTCATTCAAATTTCACATAAGTGTTGAAGGCTGCATGTTCTCTCCCTTCCCTGCCTCCTCACTGCTTAATTTTAGTACTCTTATATGAAGCAACTATGTCAAATCTTCCTGTGCACTGAATATGTTAAGAAACTATGGCCTGCTCTATACCTCAGCTTATGGTCATTCATAAATTTAATGGAAAAATTCTGCCTGAAAATTTGTGCTGGAAAATTTCTGGAGTGCAGAAATGTAATGAGCACAAGGATCACCACTTCAATTTACTTTATAACTAGATATGGTCGTCTTTAGAATATCCACACAGCGTTAAGCTTATAAATATGCAGTAGTCTGTAAAATGGTGACAAAGCTCTTTATTTCTGGCATTGTTGCAACAATGTGACGTACTTCTTCATTTATTTTGAGCACAGTCATTCTGCTGACAAACCTGTGACATGTTCTAAAAAAAGAGATCTTAAGGCTCTGTGTGTCTCTGAATATCACACGTTATAGAATGTCTTTGTAGTCTATCCCTTTCCAGTACTCTAGGACATGGATGGGTTGTGACTGACTAAGGGGAGTTGCAAATCATTGCCACAGCGTAGCAGAGATGCAGGTTTAGTTGATGTAGAAAGTTGTAAAGTCCATGCTTTTAAGCACACAATTTACAGTATTCCAAATGGATGATTTCTGTGGTTCAGTGTGTTTTCAGTCTCTCAACATTACATAGGATACTTATAACTAAGAATACTGCTACAATATTTTAAGGTGACTTCATTTCTTTAGATTTTGCCTGTATGTTAACTTCAGTTGTATATGAGAACAAATAACATTTGCACACTGCCCATTCACAAGTATATTTCTTGTTGCAATATGTAGCACCAAGAGTTTGGTTGATAAATTAGCAGCTCAGTATTCCATACCATCTTCATATTTGCATTACCTTTAGAATGTTTATTTCAAATACTGTGCTAATCTGCATTCATATGAGGGTTGTTAGCACCTATGTCAGCAACTTCTTTTGATTTCGAACAAATCAATTCAGCCTTCCTGAAGGATTGTGAGTCCTTTCTGACATGACTTGAGCATTTATTTCTGAAATTTTACCTTCCAAGGTTCTCAAAAGCACCATCTTTTCTTAGAGATGAATGAATGATTCATCTTTATTTAATTATGTAGTAGTAGTTACACAATGCCTGCATTTCTACTGGTTCCATTAGCCTCCAGAATACCCAGAGCCTGAAACAGAAAGCACTTCTGAATTAGTAATCAGTTTACTCAATGACACACCTTGCAAACGGTATCTGCCCTTTACACTTAGTATAAAACCTTTCACAGAATACAAATACTTCCTTTGTTGTGTCCAAAACCTGAACGTAAAACCACAAAGTTGTCAGTATGGTATTTCTTGCTGTCTCTAAGATGAGGCTACAGACTTCCTCATTCTTGCTTGATAATACGCAGTGTGAACCTAAGCATGTTTAATCAGAAACATCTATGTTTTCAGCGGGGCTTACTCCAGGGTGAGAATGCCTAAGATTCCAGCATTTCTGTTTAATATACATCTATGATCATTTTTTCAAGTTCACCTTTTTTCATAGCTGTCTCCTTACTGCTATTTTCCTCTCCTCTTTAAAGTCAGGACAGCCGTCAACTGTAATAGAGAACATCCACACCATTATTGCAGCAGCTGCTGTCAAGTTCAGCTCAGACCAGCTCAATCATCTCTTTGTCCTTATTCAGAAGGTGAGGCAACTACAGCAAGAAACTGAAATATATATTTTGAAGTCTGTTTGGATCTAAAGATCATAATATGGAGAACCAAAGCTTGGCCCAGTTGAAACTCAAATTGTTTTTTGTTTGTTGTTTTGTCTTTATTCATTTCCCCCCCCCTTCCCTCCCCTTTTGTAGAGTTGGGAATCTGAGAGTGATAGAGTGAGACAGAAGCTGCTAAGCTTGATAGGACGTATTGGTCGGGAAGCACGTGTAGAGACAACCACTGGAAAGGCATGAGTAATAAATTCCACTTTTAAGAATTAACATGGAGGCTAACTTCAGTAATGAATGTTGATATGTATATCCTTGTAGTTCTTGAGGTTCTCTGGGAGTTGGCTCATCTTCCAACATTGCCCAGCAGTTTGATTCAACAAGCCTTGGAGGAGCATTTGACAATCCTTAGTGATGCATATGCGGTGAAGGAGGCAATAAAAAGAAGCTACATCATCAAATGCATAGAAGACATCAAGAGGGTTAGTTTGCCCTATCTCTCAGAATGTATATTCCGCGCACCCCACCCCCAAATCATCTAGATATAACTTTATTTGATTAGAAATGTTACAGAACTTGAAGCTTGCACATTCATTAGTTCTCAAGTTTCACAGGACGCCTTGAAAAGGGAGAGTGTGTGTATCAGTTTGCTTCTTGTGAGAGTCATAGCCAGTATCTTGCCTTTGTTTCTGCCAAAAGGAGTGACTGTTTGCTGTGGGGAAAGTGCAAGAATGAAATTTGCAAATAGATCCACGTGTCCTTCACAATGTAATCTATATATATTACATAGCGAACTAAATAATGGATTTTGTGGAATTGAGGAATAGCTATAGTACAGACTACAAAAGTAATCTGGAATGGGGAATAAAACTTTGAATGTTTATGCAGTCATTGTTACTAAGAATACCTATTACTGTACCTTCTCCTAATAGTCATCCCAACATAATAATCCTCAGTTTGTGTGGGTGGTACCAGCTTTACGTCAGCTCCATGAAATCACACGCTCATTTATTAAGCAGACCTACCAAAAGCAAGATAAGGTAAGATAATTTTTGAGACAAAATTGTGTCTTGTGTGGATTGATATGATCAGGAGGGAATGAATCTAAAAAATGGGATGTGTTCAGGGACAACATTGAATACCGAGGGTTTGGGTACTTGGGACCTGGAAATGTTTGTTTGTCATTTCAGTGTATAGATCAGTGGTTCCCAGCCTTTACAAATTTGAGGACTACTTTTTAACCTCAGGTTTTTTTTGCAGGCCCTAGCATACAAATTGTTGTAATTTTAGGCTCTGTTAATTGAGAAGAAACTATTATGTACTCAATACAGCATGCAACTCACTCTCTCATCAAGCTAGATTTTAAAGAAGGGGGGAATGTGTAAAAGAGGGGGGAATGTGTTTCTTTGGGTGGTCTTAAGAGCTGTCAGCAGTAGGATCTCCCAGAAATAGCTATTTCCCACTATTCAGATTGTGTCCAAATATTTGGTCTGGTGTAACTCAACAAGTTCACATACCATGTTGTAAACTCTGGCATGGTCAGATATATTAGTTCTGATTAAAGATGTTCTTTTGACTCTCCTTTTCTTTTTTTGCAATAAAGGCTGTCTTATATTGAGCGCTCTCCTCAGACCCTGCCCTCCATCAGCAGGATCTTCCATATTTCCCATTTTATCTTTGTATCCCCCTCTCCTCCTAACATTTTTTAAAAGAGATCATCCTTTAGAAAGCTTGTGTAATTCTTGATAAATTCTACTAAGTAGAGGAAACGTATTGGCTGACACTGTGGGCCCTAAAGCCTCATCCTTGAATCCAAAATTTTCTTTGTATTTAGCCCCCCTCTTCCAACTTTCTCCTTTAACATGGCACCTGTGGTGTAGGGAACTGATGTGAAAAACAGCTATCAAAACCCTGGTCTGCTACATAGAAATCAGACTTAGACTTCCTCTTTGAACAAAGCAATCGCTGTCACAAGGCCATGCCGTATTAGTGTCATTCTTAATGCTAAGTATTCATAGTAAGTTCAGATTTGGCTTTGGAAACGAAAGCACACGATTTTGTGCTGTGCTAACTGAAGTATGTATTTGAAGTGCTTAGTACTTCCTTCTGCCACGACTAGTGTCAATGACTGGAAACTGTGGTGAATGAGGATAGAAATTATGAGACTTTGAGGCCCTGATTGAATAGATGGCCGGGGGGTGCAGCGAGGGAAACTTGTATTCGAGCCTTGAAAGTCTTAATTGCGCATGTTGTAATGCTCTGCTTAACACATCTTTTCCAATACTTCTGCCAAGAGCATTATTCAGGATCTGAAGAAAACTTTGAAATAGTGAAGCTGGTGACAAGCAGCTTAATAGCATGCCACCGATTGGCCGCATCCGTGGCAGGTCCTGGGGGCCTGTCAGGAGCAACCTTAGTGGATTGCCGATACACGTACCGGGAGGTAAGCAAACTTGTGGCGTTCAAACCAGATCATTTGAGGATAGCCCTGTATAGAAGCAACTTGTCTCTTTACTGAGGTAGTGAGCTTCAATCCCTCAAACCTTAAATTTGCAAAAGGTTTCCTAAAGGTCTGTTCGGAAATGTTAATTGCAGTTTGTGTTTGCTTCCTTTTCAGTACTTAGAGGCACATCTGAAATTTCTGGCATTTTTTCTCCAAGAGGCTACGCTTTACTTAGGATGGAATCGTGCTCGGGAAATCTGGGAATGCCTTGTGACAGGCCAAGATGTTTGTGAACTAGATCGAGAGGTGAGATGCTGTCCTTGGAATAAATGTAGCACTAATTTACTTGGAAACAATGTATCCTAAAAGATGATCTGGGGGCTAAAAATCAAAACACACTAGGAAAACAAAATCGTTTCACAAATCTGTAGAAAAATAAGGTGCTGTTTATGAATGTTTGAGGGCTATCAGGAGTAGACAAAATTACTTTTAATTCTCAGTCATACGGATACTAGAGTTTTCTTAAATTGTTTAGCAATCCTCAAACAAATTTTGGTGCTTGGGAGTAAACCATAGTATGTCGGATATTTTAGAGCAGTGTAAAATATATCATTTAAAAACAGAATGTGAACCATAGTGTAAACTCTTTTCACAGATGTGCTTTGAATGGTTTACAAAGGGGCAGCACGATCTCGAGAGTGATGTGCAGCAGCAGCTTTTTAAAGAAAAAATTCTTAAATTGGAGTCTTATGAAATCACTATGAATGGTATGTAAGTATTTTTGTTTTATCAGCCTTCTGTATAATAGATATCTTAGAATAAAATTTGGGGGCTTGATAACGGCTGAAGGTTGCAAACAGCTTCAGAGACTAATGAAGTCAGACTTTAAAGCTTTTATTTTGCATGAGTAATGTTTCTGTGTTTGTTTAAATGAAAATAGCAGGATTCCTTTAAATGTTAATTTTTAAAAACAGGTTTTGGTTTGTTTAAGACCTTTTTTGAAAATGTGAACCTCTGTGATCATCGATTGAAACGTCAAGGAACTCAGCTGGTAAGCAGCTTTCTATAAACTTGTTCCAGTGCAGTTCATAGGTCACAGCTGGCAAGTTTATTTGGAAAATAGTGTGCGCTATAAAATAGTGACCATTGGGAAGTGGCAGTTAGAATGTGGCTCTTCAAAGCTATAGTTACGGATTTTCCCTGACATTACTGGGATTTCAAAGGCGGAATTGACATCCAGGGGAATTTCTGAAAGGCAGCACTTTGTCCTGGATCTTAGGCAAGTCAATTTTTTAAAAATCGTGTTTTTCCCCCCTAACAAAAGCTCAACAATTTTGGGGTTCCTTTAAATAATCTCAACAATTTTGGGGTGCCCTGGTTTTACTTTTTTGAAATATGACAACCCTACTATAGTACATTAATTTGTCCTAAGTCAAGATTAGCTTTAGGGCTCAGATCACTTTTCTTTAACTTACTCATATGAAACAATCCATGAGCACAGTTAAATTCTTTGCTTTTACGTGCTTGGGAGGGAGGGGATTTTTCTAGGATTAACCAACATAATTAGAGGAAGTCCTTATTTGTACTCATATTACTATTACTTGTTATTAATAATAGTATCTTCAGTTTGTGATAGATAAAGCTCTGCAACATGTGAAATATTTTCAATAGTGTACTCTGATCTGGGTGCTAAACAATCTTAGTCTCTATCTCTTTTATTTGTCTAGCATGTAGAAAAACTGGAATTAATAGGAATGGATTTTATTTGGAAGATCGCAATGGAGTCACCTGATGAAGAAATAGCAAATGAAGCTATTCAGCTAATAATAAAACTATAGTTACATCAATCTAAATCCAAGACTAAAGAAGGGTAACAACTCTGAATTGTTTTTGGTGGCTGTACTTGTCCCAGAAGATGAGATGTAGGCTGCCTTCAGACGATCTTAACCCAGCGTTCGGTATCTGTGTTAAAAGAACACGTGAGAGTAGGCAGCGAAGACTAACCTGGTAGCTCCATGTGGGCACCCCATCCTCATTTGCTGTCTCCATGACTTGGAGGGATAGCTGCGTCTGCAGTGGAGAGCCTGCTCTATTTATGTGGGTTCCTCATGTGATTTTCAAAGGATTCTAAATCTCACAGGTTGCCAAAAATGAGTATAGCAGGCTCTCTGCTGCAGAAGAAGTTATTCCTCCAGCTCAAGGAGGTGACAAGGCTGGGGAGTCAGAGGTTGTGTCCCTGTCCTCACTCTTGCACCTTGCATGTTGTTGTAAACAAATGTAGAATGCCTCAGTATTACCCCTGAAATGTGCAATCCCACCTCTTCCTTTTGCATGCACGGGGAAAAGAGATTAGTAGCTTCCACTTGTTGACAATTGATAGTTTGCTGCATTTGTATGGAACTACAAAACTATTAGCTTGTCACTGATTTGAAGTTAACTTGTCACTGATTGAAGTTAAATTGTCACTGATTTGAAGTTGAACTTCGTTCTCTGCATCTGCATGCTTCTTTGCACAGGAAGGAAGAGGGAAGGGGAAGAGATTGTGCGTGTGTGTGTGCATGTGTGTGCGCGCGCTTACTGCTGTTCATTCATAATGGCAAGCCATGGTTTTGGTTGTCTGAATAGAGACATGGACCGTGTACGTTTTTGTATTACCAACACTCTTTCTCCTACCTGTGCTCATGCTTAAATTCAGTAATAAGTGTATAGTAAGCAGTTCTCTGTATGTACTCTTGCTCTCTCTGCATGTGTGTGAATTAATGTTTTTAATATAGTTTAAACACTTTTCATTCTTTTCAGGATTCAGTGTCACTCCATAAGAAATTCATTGCAGATTGTTATACAAGATTAGAAGTAAGTGTCAATCTTTTTTTTTAAAAAAATGTCCCGTTCTATTTTTTTTTCTTATATAACTGTAAAATTATTTCCAGCATTCCACCTTGTACTGTACAGAAAGCCCTTTCTCAACTGGAGTAATGGAGCAGCCACCATGTTGGGTTATATCCACTAATTATCTGGGGCAGCAGGGAACTGCATGGCAGACTTATGACCCTAGACAACTCCAGTTCTTTTCCTGTCTTTGCCTGGGACGCTGAACCTTCTCCCACCTTTGACCCAAGTAGAGTTGTTCTTTTTTTTGGAATTGTATTTACCATCTCTCTCTTGCCATGGTTGGAACTGGAGCCAGGAGCCTAGAGTCAGAGATCTTTACCTGTTTACTTGCCTTGGGTGTAACCCTCAAACATCTTAACTAGATAGAGTATTCACAAGGAGCAGCCAGTGCTCGTTTCTTGAATATCATTAAAATGAAGTTTGTAGAGATGTCTGCCTGTTATGCCTTGGCACTAGCAAATTACTTGCAGATAAAAGCAAAGTTTAGGTTCTCAGTGCTGAAGAAGTTGCCGCACCATTACGTGGCCTTCCTTGTAATCCAGAAATAGCATGATGTTCTTTCATTCTAGGCAGCCAGTTCAGCACTTGGTGGTCCAACGCTGGAACACATGCTGTCACAAGAGCTACCAAAATGTTAACAGCAACTGCAATGCCTACTGTGGCAAACATCGGTACAGTCTCCGTACAGGTAAGGTTTTGGTTTAGGAATAGATAAATATGATCTATGTTGGTTTGTTCTAGATAACTGTGATTTAGAGGACTGGGAATGTGCTGAAGGCTCACGCCTTCCTTCAGTTTCAAGTTTTCTATAACCGTGCCTTACTAAGATGTGCAAAACCATGGTATGAAAATCCTCTTTAAACCATGCTAATGTGGTTAGCTGTAACCACAGTTTGCCCAACTTGCTTGTGTTAAAAGAAAGCTCAGTAATGAGGAGTCTCATATCTCACATTCCTGATCACTAAACTTTAGAATGTTACATCTGAGCCAGGTATTCCTTGTCTGTGTGTGAAATGGGTATGGGCCAAAGAAACTACCGAAATTAGAACTGGCACCCACAGCTTCATCATACATAAACACTTTGCAAATGATAGGTTTATTCAGTGTATTTGGTCCCCACAAATGAATGTTTCTGGGGGTTTTGTTTGTTTTTTGGTTGTTGTTTTTAAAATACCTTGCAAATGATTCACTGCAGAAGGTAGTTGCCAGAAGGGTGATGCAAGTCTCTGGTTACAAAAAGAATTGTTTGAGTAAACATTTTTTTAAGGTTTGCTCAACTTATGCTGGCCTGTGATGAGAAGGAAAATAATACAACACAGCACAATATAAATATACCCTAAGTTTACCTTTCGGAAAATCAAGTGGTGCTCTGTTCCAATTCCAAAAAAGAAGTGTTGTTCCTGTATTAAGCAAGTGTAGTAATCGTGGAACAAATATTGTGCACTTCCATTAAATTGATTTGGACAGCTGCTTAAAGAAGATCAAAGTTGGTACTAGTAGTATTTCTCAGGGAATATACAACAGCATAGTAGTCATTTATGCAAGTGTGATAAGTCTACAGTGAGGCTGCAGTTTACCAGCAACAGCACTGTAAAAATCTTAAATCTAAATGTTTTCTGTTGCTGATATGGCTTCTGTGATCCTTTTTCTACTGCTGTTTGGTCTCATCTGTATTTTTATTTGTAAGCTTCCTTGAGTTTACTGTTACCACGGAAAGTTGTGAGATATCAATACATTAATTAAATAAATGGAAAGATGAATTGGCCCAGGAATACAGCCAACTGCAGAAGCTGGTGCTATTTCCCTAAAGCACTGACCACGTTCCCCTGGCCCTGAGGGGAAGGAGGGCAAATTGGAGGTATAAAATAGCATCAAAACTGCAATAATCTGCAGCGCTGTTTTGCTATTGGCTCTTCTCTCACACCTTCTTCCCCCTAACATTTCTTTAAAATGTATGTTGTACCTCACTTTTTAAGCCTTTGTAGATAGAAATAATAAAGTGTGTTGTCAGGTTTATCTTGAATTATGTGAGCCCCAAATAACAAAAGTTTAGGAAAAACTGGACTGAGTTTACTACTTAATACTCCTCCATTCTTTTCTCTCACTAGGCAAAACTAGGGTTGGAAGTATGTGTTAAGGATGATTTTTTTTCTCCTTGCTGCCACCGCCACCGTACTTCATCACTAATCTGTGGTTACTTGGAATGCATAATATGATATGACCCAGTTCAGGAATTTCTCTGGCTCTGCTTCACTTCATTGTGTAATGTGGAGCAGGTACAGCAAAACAGTGTGAAGACATCAACATCACACTTCCTCTTTTTTAAATCAAATGTTACTGAGGTGATGGTGGGGAGGAGTGAATAAATCTAACTCCTTGACTGTTGCCACCTTGAAACTTAGTTCCAGCTTCTGCATACTCCTTGATAGTGATAAATTTGTTTGGGGCACCTATCAGATAGCGGCCACAGGGCATAGTGTTGGTGGCTTTTGTCAGGCTGGTAGGTATTTTGAAGAAGCTCAACTGAGGTAGGTATTTTGAAGGAGCTCAACTCGTAGGTATTTTGAAGGAGCTCAACTGAGGTCTCACCCAACTGTCTCCCATTTATTTTGATTGCAATCTCCAGGTCAACGAAGCTTGTAATAATTGAGAGACTGCTGCTGTTGGCAGAACGCTACGTCATCACTATAGGAGGTAAAAAAAAAAAGTCTTTGTCATTTTGGTACCCATTCCCTTTAGTTTGAGTAGCCCAGTAAGTGCAATGCTAAAGTTTAGGCTTCAAGTTCTCCTATTGTTATTTGTTATTGTTCTATTATTGAATTTTATATACCGCTCTATCTTCTTCTTCTTTTGGCGATCACTCATACCCAAATAAGATTGTCTTCCATAAACATGGTTTTAACAATGAGTCTGTGAGTGACTGTGGAGGCCAATTCTGGACCCACACATCCTTCCCCAGTGGGGACATTGGTTCCCAGGTGGGAGTTGATCATTAATGTTTGATTTGCCAAGCATGCCTTCCTCTTAGCAAGTTTCTCCCTTGCATCCTGAGTTTGGGTGTCTTCAAAGTCCATGACACCTTTGGTAAATGCCTGTTCTCACCAACTGGAGCGCTCGCAGGCCAGTGTTTTCCCAGTTGTCGGTGTTTATACTACATTTTTAAGATTTGCCCTTGAGACCCGAAGATCTCAAGGTGGTTTACAAAATAAAATCAAAATATAAAACCACAAAATATATAATCAAAATAAAAACAACAACCCAATAACACACACATCCCACTGTAGACTCATTGTTTAAGCAAGCAAGTTTCTATTAACTTTGGGCCGCATCAGCGAGTGAGGAGGATGAGAACCAACGCAGAACTGGATTGAAAAGGCTACAGTTTTATTAGTGGTGGCTATTTTTGTATTTGGCTGAACTGTGGCAGGGCAAGTGATCTAGTGAACTGGTCCTGGAGCCCCAGTCTCTCAAGCTTTGGGAAGAAATTTATACCTTGGAAGGTGACTAAGAAGTCCTAATAATAACTACTACTACAACCCCTTAACAGCCCACTGCAACAACAATAGCATGCAGTGATCGGATCCTGCTCCTTGATCATGGCCCTGCTTTACTACCCAAGTGAATGAGAACACTGAGCTTTACCCAAAATTGGGTCTCCTTTGAATGACCTAGGAGCAGGCTGGAGAGAAGTTCTCCATTCTGGACCACCGCAACCCTCTCCACCCACAGGCCATGCAGCACCAAGCTGACTCGCTGAGGGACAAGACCCATGAACAGTGCAGTGGCAAAGGCATGGACTTGGAGCTGCATGGCCTCTACACTGACAGGCAGTGGCTCTTCATGATTTCATAGCAGTGAGCATTCCCAGCCCCAGCTGGAGCTTCTGGGAATTAAACCAGAGACCTTCTGCACACAAAGCAGATGTTTCTGCCACTGAGTCCCAGCCAGCATGGGCAGCGATGATGATGTCCAAAATATCTGGAGCACACCAGGTTGGGGAAGGCTTTGCAGTATAATGGACGGATCATTGTGACAGCTAAAACACAGATAAAAATGTTCAGTTGATCAGCTTACGCCAGTTTACATTTAAATTGTTCCTTGATCATTTGTGTCAAAGGTCACTTTTTACCACTTTCTTTCCATAGGACCTTTACTCCGTTCCACGTACTATTCTACCCTCACGGTGCCTCCTTTCATGGACATCTTTTAACACTTAATGTTATGTATGAATCTACCAAAGATACCTTTACAGTAGAGGTATGCTCTTGCAATTTTATTGCATTTTAAAATACTCTAAGGTGTGAAAATTCTCAGCAAAAAGGGAGTTGGGTGCTGATGCAAAGCAGGGGTCAGCAAACTTTTTCAGCAGGGGACCAGTCCACTGTCCCTCAGACCTTGTGGGGAGCCGGACTTCATTTTTCGAAGAAAAAAAATGAACGAATTCCTATGCCCCACAAATAACCCAGAGATGCATTTTAAATAAAAGGACACATTCTACTCATGTAAAAACACACTGATTCCCGGACCATCCGCTGGCCGGATTTAGAAGGCGATTGGGCCGGATCCGGGCCCGAGGCCTTAGTTTGCCTACCCATGATACAAAGAATATAATAGCATTGGGATGTGCTAAATAATATGTTTTGAGTGTGTTATAAATAATGTCAAGGGTTTGCTGAGTAAATGGGGATTGCAGGATAATGTGGAAAAGTTTCATGCGCTTGTCCCTTATGGGTCACTGGTTTCTATCTAATAATACTTCCTAGAACTGAGAACATGAATGAACTAACTTCCACTTCATTTTTGCAGGCTCATAGCAATGAGATCATAGGGAGTGTCAGATGGAAGATAGCAAAGCTGTTGAATGCTCCTGTGGAAAACATACAGATATTTGCAAATGACAGCTTGGTATGTTTGGATGATTTTATCAATATTCTAGATGTGTAAGGTTTGCAGAAGCTAAGAAAAGATATTGTATTTCAGCTAACAGTGAATAAAGATCAAAAGCTACTTCACCAGTTGGGCTTTTCTGAAGAACAAGCACTTACAGTAAAGACATCAGGAAGTGGAACCCCATCAGCAAGCTCTGCTGATTCCTCCACTAGCTCCAGCAACAGTAGTAATGTCTTCAGTTCATCATATGCAATGGAACAGGTACAACATGGGGGGGGGTAAATATAGATTTCACACACACAAAGACACTTTTTAATTAATTAAGTTGGTTTCATTTCACTTTAAAAAATTGCTTTCCAGTATCTTCCATTTCTCTGTACTCTGCATTGGTCATTCATGATTTAAATCTTTATAAAATTAGTTTGTCAGAATTTGAAAATCAGTTGGAAAGACTGAAGTAAGCTAGTGCTACATGCAGTTACTTATACTGATCCTGCACTTTTTCCCAGTTGAATTGAGATGCTTGATAAATCCAGCAGGAACTGCTAGCACACCTTTCTCATCTGATTTTGATGAACGCAGCATTTCAGTGATCATTTCAGAAATGAATGCATCTGAATTGTTTAAAGTAGTTCTAACTGTAAGCAGAAATGGAAAAAGTAGAAAGCATCCTCCTGCTGCTGTTCATTATATTTGATGACACAGTTTAGAATTCCAAGGTCTAATGTTTTGGTTCACTCTGTACATAAAAGTTAAAAGTATTGGAAATGTGAAGCTATGGTTTCTTTGGCAGAATTTCAGATCAACACTGCAGTGGTGTGTGTGTGTGTGTGTGTGTGTGTGTGTGTGTGTGTGTGTATAGGGGGGAGAAGAAGGATACAGGATTCAGTGCCTTGTGTTGGCAAGAAGCTGACATCCCTAGGCCAGGTTTTTAAATTTATATCACTCATTTTTAAAAATTGAGAACCCTAACAAATTGCTTAAGAAATAGGGAAGTTAATTGTGTGTTCTTAATCCTCAGGAAAAATCCCTCCTGGAGTGGTAATGGCTCTTGTGTGTAATGTGTTTGACATGCTGTACCAGCTTGCGAACCTAGAAGAGCCAAGGTAAGTAGTGTTATTGAAGACACTGTAGAAATACTGTGGCTGCAAAAATAAATAAATTTTGGAAGCATTTACAAGCAAGCATAGTGTCCAGCCCAGCAGAAATTGAGTACGTTATATGTCTCTTGTATTCTTTAGGATTACTTTGAGAGTACGGAGGCTTCTTTTGCTGATTCCTACTGACCCAGCTATTCAGGAAGCTCTTGATCAGCTAGATTCTCTTGGACGAAAGGTATATATATTTTTTGTTAACTACACAATCATAGTCTAGTTTTACTGATTGAGCTTGGGATTGAAAGGAATGGAGAAAGAAATAGGGCGTTAAATTGTAGGCATTATAAAATGTTGGGGAAATGCTAGCCATTGTGGAGCAAGAATTGAACCATCACTGGCTAAATTAATTTTATTTCTCTTATTATTAATGATGTGTGCTTTGGCGGGGGGGGGGGGATTCCTTTGCTTAGCACACATTACTTTCCTTCTAGGGATTCAGATAGCATGGCTAATGTGCTTATCACCCCTGGGGCAGGAAAAATGCCATGTTAGCACAGCCGTGTATTAGCTTGCTAGCTTCATCTGTAAAGTTGGCACAGAATCTATTACTCGAAAAGTTCCTAAGCTGCAGGCCCATTTAACATTCACCCTTAAGGATGGCTGGCCTAGCTACCTATATAGGATAGTAGCAAATAGTCATTGGGTCCTAAACATGTTCATAGAAGTTAGCAAACTAACGTTAAAATTAATCTGGCATTCACAAAACATGTCTCTCCCATATCTCTCGCGCTGCAACCTTCCAACAGTTTTACTTCACCCCCAAAGGCACACTCCTCCATTGTCTCCCACGACAGATGGATGCCAGCTATTAAAAAATAATAATGCAAATTACAAAAAAATACTAATTAAAGAGAAATGGTATTTACACTGGGGTGCATCGAAAAAGAAGGGTGTGGCATAAACTTTGTAAAAATCTACAGATTGTATTTTATAGTTCTTTATGGTACTGAATAGGGATGGGGAATCTGTGGCACTCCAAACGTCAAATTTCCATCAGCCTGAGTCGGCTGCACCAGTAGTCAGGGATGGACTTTTAATCCAACGATATTGAGAGGGCCATGAGTCCTCTGTCCCTGGTATAAAGGTAAAGGTAAAGGTACCCCTGCCCGTACGGGCCAGTCTTGACAGACTCTGGGGTTGTGCGCCCATCTCACTTAAGAGGCCGGGGGCCAGCGCTGTCCGAAGACACTTCCGGGTCACGTGGCCAGCGTGACAAGCTGCATCTGGCGAGCCAGAGCCGCACACGGAAACGCCGTTTACCTTCCCGCTAGTAAGTGGTCCCTATTTATCTACTTGCACCCGGGAGTGCTTTTGAACTGCTAGGTTGGCAGGCACTGGGACCAAACAACGGAGCGCACCCCGCCGCGGGATTCGAACCGCCGACCTTTCGATCGGCAAGCCCTAGGCGCTGAGGCTTTGACCCACAGTGCCACCCGCGTCCCCACTAAGCACAGTAGGAGTACCATATTCAGTTGAGAAACTTTTTGAAGCGAGAAAGCCACCAATAATCCTTATGCAGCCCCTCAGAAATGGTGTCAGATTTATTAGTGCTTACAGGCCCTGAGGTTTCCTGAACAATTTATTATAAAGGCAAGTTTGATGGTTGATGGATCCAAATCCAGGACAAGAATTTGAATCTTTGCCACAAGGTGAAGTTGGTGAATACCACTACCACTACTAGCTGCGGCCTGAAGATGTAGGCCACAACAGTCCTAGAGACAAAGTAGGTCTTCAAACAACCAATACCAGCAGGAAAGTGGTTCAGCCTTCCCCAAACTGGTGTCTTCTACAGTAGATGTTTAGGAGCTAACAATCTGGTGCTAAAACATCTGGAGGGCACCAGGTTGGGAAACTCAATGCCTAGAATACTCCATGCCTAGTTTGTGTGCTGACTGCTTTCAGACCATCAAACATGATAACTATCTTTGCCTCAGAATTACCAAGTCTGATGGACTTCCGGCAGTCCCTATTCCATATGTGTGATTCATTGCAGGACTGAAGCCACTTGTATTTAAATAGACGTGTAAGCTAATATTCAGCTAATAAGTTTTAGTTTTTGCCACACATGAGACAATCTGGCAAATGAATGTGACAGAATTTAATCTACACACACAAACATTTGTTCATGTTTACTCAGAAATGAT